ACAACTACCGGACTTTTAGGAGACATCTGAAGGCAGCCCTGTTTAGGGAAGCTTTTAATGTTTAACAGACGATGGTATTTTAATATTTTGTTGGAAGCCGCCCAGAGTGGCTGGGGAAACCCATCAAGATGGGCGGGGTATAAATGAATTATTATTATTATTATTATTACTATTATTATTACTACTACTACTACTACTACTATTACCATCTTCAGGGCTATTTAAGACAATTTCTTTGCCACTTAATATACAAGAGAAAATTTAAAAGCCACAGATATTGCAAAATTATACAATAAAACCACTAACACAAATGACTAAAATGGCAATAAAAAGCACAACAATAAAGCCTTATTACACACAAAAGAAAGGATTCAGCTTTAACCATCAGGGAAAGCCTTGCAAAAAGCTATGCTCAAAAGATGACTGAAGGATACCCAACAATAGTGACGTAGCAGATCATCTTATCATAAAGTGGTAACCATAGACATTAGGTTTCAAGTTAGGCAGATGTGCTATTTTGCCAGGAAAAGTTGTTTACATGGTTCCAAGACATCTGCAGGTTTGGAAGTTTCCCCTTGCTTGAGTGTAAGACCCCAGCCCTAGAAATGTATGTGCATAAACTTTCAAATAAGTCACACTGTAGCATGGGAATTACATCATCCATAATACAGTGGAATCAAATGTGTGCATGCCATAGCATGTGTGGCCTCCGAGGAAACTGAGATATAGGCATCCATTTACACTTCCTTCTTTGTCTGCCTGTTCAGCAAGACTATTTCCCCCCCTAAAAAAAAAAAGCTTCATGATTACTTTTCAAATATGTATATATTCTGTTTTATGGTGGGGAAAATGGGGTGGAGGAGAGGGAAATGCAATCAGTACAGTGCAAAATCTAATCCAATGGGAAAGGCATATAATTCGAAAGACATTTATTCCCAGGTTGTTACACTATGCTTTATGGCTGCTGTGCTTCTTTTATAATGAGATTGATTGTGCAGACACAAAACATTACAGCTTCTATTTAAAGCAAACGAACAAACCATTTATCTTTGTCACAGATAGAAAAACAAGCAAATTTTGGAAACGATACTTTCCCAGAATGTTGAAACTAACGGGAAAAAGGAGGGAAAGATGGTTTTACCACATGCAAAGCTGCCATTCCAGAGTACTTAAAATTCTGTTTCGTTGTTGTTGTTTTAAAAAACATAATTCATCCAAAGGCCCTTTTCTATCATCAAAGTTTTATTGAAGAAGAACAACAAAAGTCACAGCAAAAGGGAAATCTCCCTCCAGGCATTCTTTATTTGCTTATTTAATATACTTTGCACCCAGATCTTTAAACTGCTTACTTGTAAGTAAGATCCACTGAATTTACTAGAATTGAATCGCAAACAAATACATAGGAAACAACTGTCTTAATAATACAGTGGTCTGGTGCATAACAGAAACAAATGCAATAGATCTCCCATAATATGTTGCTGAAGGCCACAGAGCTCCAGCTGTTCTGTATGCTAGGCCAATCTGCAGTTTAACACAAATTTCAAGAACGCTGTATGTGCTGGGTCACTGATGGCAGGCATGTCTAGTCTCATCAGCTGACTCTTGCACCATGCTTTTGGTAAATGATAAAAATAATAATGTTAAGTCAATGTGTTGTTGTTGTTGTTTAGTCGTTTAGTCATGTCCGACTCTTCGTGACCCCATGGACCAGAGCACACCAGGCACTCCTGTCTTCCACTGTCTCCCGCAGTTTGGTCAAACTCATGCTGGTAGCTTCAAGAATACTATCCAACCATCTCGTCCTCTGTCATCCCCTTCTCCTTGTGCCCTCCATCTTTCCCAACATCAGGGTCTTTTCCAGGGAGTCTTCTCTTCTCATGAGGTGGCCAAAGTCTTGGAGCCTCAGCTTCAGGATCTGTCCTTCCAGTGAGCACTCAGGGCTGATTTCCTTAAGAATGGATAGGTTTGATCTTCTTGCAGTCCATAGGACTCTCAAGAGTCTCCTCCAGCACCATAATTCAAAAGCATCAATTCTTCGGCGATCAGCCTTCTTTATGGTCTAGCTCTCACTTCCATACATCACTACTGGGAAAACCATAGCTTTTACTATACGGACCTTTGTTGGCAAGCTGATGTCTCTGCTTTTTAAGATGCTGTCTAGGTTTGTCATTGCTTTTCTCCCAAGAAGCAGGCGTCTTTTAATTTCGTGGCTGCTCTCACCATCTGCAGTGATCATGGAGCCCAAGAAAGTAAAATCTCTCACTGCCTCCATTTCTTCCCCTTCTATTTGCCAGGAGGTGATGGGACCAGTGGCCATGATCTTCATTTTTTTCAAAAGTTGTTCAGCTTTTTTTTAGCAAAGTTGTTCAGCTTTACCAATGATTTCTGCCCAATGCAGTTTCTGATTCCCAAATCCCGGACGTATTGCAACCCTAAATCATGAGATCTGGAACAACACCCAGCCCCATTTTTCTTGATCTCATTCTGAATACCTGCTGCATAGGATTAATAACAGTTAAGATCCATGATATATATGTGCTGAAGCTAAGCAGATGTGATCTTGTCTGTTGCCTTTGGACCATATATTCAGAGGAAGAGTCGTTTATAGTTATAATAATACAGGAGGCCAGGGGACTGAACCAAGGATACTGGGAGCAGGACTCAGTTGCCTTATTCCTTACACCACTGGAACACATCTCAGACTAAAGGAATCCTTCATATGGTATTTTCTACATTGAAGCACCACTCGTGTATGTACTATGGCTCATCACCCTAGCCAGACCAGATGACTTAAGAAACCAATAGAAGTCTGGCTAAGGTAAAGGTAAAGGTACCCCTAACCGTTAGGTCCAGTCGCAGACGACTCTGGGGTTGTGCTCTCATCTCGCTCTATAGGCCAAGGGAGCCGGCATTTGTCCGCAGACAGCTGGTGGCCAGTATGACGAAGCCACTTCTGGCAAACCAGAGCAGCACACGGAAATGCTGTTTACCTTCCCGCTGGAATGGTAACTATTTATCTACTTGCACTTCAACGTGCTTTCGAACTGCTAGGTGGGCAGGAGCTGGGACCGAGCAACGGGAGCTCACCCCATCGTGGGGATTCGAACCGCCGACCTTCTGCTTGGCAGTCTCAATCTGAGTAACTTGTTCTACAGAGTTAAGTGAATAGAAAACACTTCTGTTTGAGTACAAGATGCAAATTCATATTTATTTGGTTAGCTTTGTCCCAGTTCTCCCATCAGTTAAAGTCATCTTGAATACAGATTCTGTCTTCTGCTACCCCTCCAGGTTTGGTGTCATCTGCAAATTTCATAAGCATCCCCTCAATTCCTTCATTCAAGTTGTTTATAAAGATGTAACTTTATCCAGGCTTCACTTCGACCAGCTTCTTGTGTATAGGCTTGCTCTTACAGACAAGAAATCATTGGGGTGGGTGGTTATTGAGCACATATAAAAAATTGGGAGGAAGACAAACTAGCAAAAGTGCAGGAGTAGAGATCAGTGTTAAAGTGTTGCTTAAACAACTGATAGAGGCAACATTTCTGGATTCTAAAGAAGAAATGTAGACTTCTTGTCTCTCCAGGACATTATCAGACAAGGGCTTGATGCCTGCACATTTCATTCCTTCTCCTACTTGCTGTGACCTTCAGCTTTTACAATGAAGTCTGATATGAACTTCCCATCAACATATCTGGACTGCCTATCATAGAAAAAGAACTGATAGGTGTGCCAATTTTAGATACAAATGAAAAGTTTTATCAGCAGATATATGTCGATTATTCTGATTTATTGCTGTAGGTGAAATTAGAACATTGTCAAATTCTTCCTTGTCTTGCATTTCTGAAGTTCTATGCTTTTAAATGGAAATTTGTGAAATGTTAAAAGTTCTAGGGGGCAGGCATAATAAGAGATTCTGGTAATTGAATGCACATAGTACTGAACACTGAGAAGAGGAAGCAAGGTGTTTAAAAAGGAGTACAGTGCTAATGCATATATTTTAGCCATCAGTATATTTCAAAAGCCCATTCAATGAATAATTTCATCATTGATATAACTGGGCACAAGCCAGCCAAAGTTAAGCATGTTTACATCCTGTTGATATAAATGAAGGAGACTGAAGTTCATGAATAACTTTTCATTTTAATTCAATATGAATTAAAAGTGCTTAACTTTAGTTAGCTACAACCAAAATATAAAACCAATTATCTTCTGCCAAAGCGCACGGAAATGCCATTTACCTTCCCGCCGCAGCAGTACCTATTTATCTACTTGCACAGGAGGAAAACACACTTCAGAACATACACATCCATGTTCTATTGGTTGTTGTTGTTTAGTCATTTAGTCGTGTCCGACTCTTCGGGACTCCATGGACCAGAGCACGCCAGGCACTCCAGTCTTCTACTGCCTCCCGCAGTTTGGTCAAACTCATGTTCGTAGCTTCGAAAACACTGTCCAGCCATCTCATTCTCTGTCATCCCCTTCTCCTTGTGCCCTCCATCTTTCCCAACATCAGGGTCTTTTCCAGGGAGTCTTCTCTTCTCATGAGGTGGCCAAAGTCTTGGAGCCTCTGCTTCAGGATCTGTCCTTTCACTGAGCACTCAGGGCTGATTTCCTTAAGAATGGATAGGTTTGATCTTCTTGCAGTCCATGGGACTCTCAAGAGTCTCCTCCAGCACCATAATTCAAAAGCATCAATTCTTCGACAATCAGCCTTCTTTATGGTCCAGCTCTCACTTCCATACATCACTACTGGGAAAACCATAGCTTTAACTATATGGACCTTTGTTGGCAAGGTGATGTCTCTGCTTTTTAAGATGCTGTCCTGGTTTGTCATTGCTCTTCTCCCAAGAAGCAGGCGTCTTTTAATTTTGTGACTGCTGTCAGCATCTGCAGTGATCATGGAGCCCAATAAAGTAAAATCCCTCACTGTCTCTATTTCTTCCCCTTTCATTTGCCAGGAGGTGATGGGACCAGTGGCCATGATCTTTTTTTTTATTTTTATGTTAAGCTTCAGACCATATTTTGCGCTCTCCTCTTTCACTCTCATTAAAAGCTTCTTTAATTCCTTCTCACTTTCTGCCATCAAAATTGTGTCATCTGCATATCTGAGGTTGTTGATATTTCTTCTGGCAATCTTAATTCCGGCTTGGGATTCATCCAGTCCAGCCTTTCGCATGATGGATTCTACATATAAGTTAAATAAACAGGGAGAAAATACACAGCCTTTTCGTACTCCTTTCCCAATTTTGAATCAATTTATTCAATTGGTAGCAAGTTTTAAAAAATTGTAACTTCATTTTTGAAATCATGTAATATAAAAGGTAAGTCATGCGAAAAGAACTATTGCATACAATTGATTCACTATACAAATTAAAAGTCAGAGGAAAGTATCACTGAGTTCAAAGTCTTGCAGCAAAAATAGACTGAACTTTCATAGACTGAAACGTATTGTTCCAGTAGTTAAATGAACGTCTTTAAGAATAAAAAGTTGTTATAGTGCCTTCCTAGCATAACTGGAGCATATGGGCTAGAAAAGTCAAGGACACATGTAAACATAGATAGATCCTTTATTATTTTTGTGAAATTACTCTCAAATCCCTCTCCCTCTCACTCAATCTCTCCACCCCACTTTTAGGTGAGATCCAGGTTCCACCTAAAGTGTGGCTTCACCACTTCTCTAAGCAATCTCCATAGGAAGCATGTTAATTCCATAGGAGACTTGTCATTGTTTTTATAGCTATTGATCTATAAATAGACATTGGACATGATACAGGAAGCAAGCACACACAATGTTGATCTGCAAGGCATTTGCAAAGCATTATTTCATACAAAGCCAAATGGCATCCATCTAAGGCTGTTACTTCCAGACAGCTGTCAGATAGGGCTGTTGCAGTCCCTACCTAAGCATCTAAGCTGTATTTCAGAAGGAACCATCTATTGGTGATCATGGAAGAAATCTCTGTCCCTCAAAAGCCATTGAACAAACATCCTAAGCTTGCTCTCCAAAACATCAGCTGACAATAATGTAGTGAGTGTGGACGACAGATAGCACTCATTAGTAATATAATCAAGCTGAACAAAAGCTGGCAGTTTCTTCACTTGACAAAATAGTGTTTCAAAAATTTCAGTGTCAACAGTATTCAGAGCTCTTAGCTCTTGCTGCCTCAGAAGCCATCTTCTGTGTATTTTGATTCTTCTCTTTGCACTCAGCAAGTCTGTATTTCCTGTGATGTGTCCTTTTTTTATAGATGCAATATAATTTAGAGTAAAGAAAAGAGATTGGTGGAGGGTTTTTTACATCTATGTTTGGAACCATGGGATTCTCAATTGACCCTTCTGATATTTAACAGTCTTGTTTAGCTACCGTCACCAGGGAAATATTTTGTGAATTCCTAAGTCGTGCAATCCAGTTATCTGGGTTAGATCTTCAATAAAGCATCAGTTAACATTTAAGAAAAGTTCAGCATCTAGGAATAGCTTAGCACATGATTTGATATGGGAATACTTTTGGGTTATCACAAATTTTAAGAGGGGGGAAGCTATATTTAATGTCTCTCTGTGAATCCTAATGCCTATGAGGATAACATCTAAAGGCTGTCTCAGTCCCCCACAAAGGGGCATTGCTAACTAAGCTTATAGTAAACTAAGTTCTTCACTGGCTCCCAGTACATTTCCAAGCACAATTCAAAGTGTTGGTGCTGACCTTTAAAGCCCTATAATGGCCTCGGTCCAGTATACCTGAAGGAGCCTCTCCACCCCCATTGTTCAGCCCGGACACTGAGGTCCTCCTCCAAGGGTCTTCTGTTGATTCCCTCACTGCGAGAAGAAAAGTTACAGGGAACCAGGCAGAGGGCCTTCTCAGTAGCGGCGTCCTTCCTGTGGAACGCCCCCCCCCCCAGATGTCAAGGAAATAAAGAATTACACAACTTTTAGAAAACATCTGAAGGCAGCCCTGTATTGGGAAGTTTTTAACGCTTGATTTTTTTTTAAGTTTTTAGATCTGCTGTAAGCCACCCAGAGTGGCTGGGGAAACCCAGCCAGATGGGCAGGGTATAACTAATAAAGTAACAATAACAACAATAACTATTATTATTATTACATATTTAAACAAGTTGGAACAAACTTTCCTTCAAGGATTACCTTCTTTCCACATTATCCTCACAACCAGGGCTTTTTTCAGCAGGAACACACAAGAACTCAATTCCGGCACCTCTCAGTTGGTGCTATTGCCATTCTAAGAGAACAAGGGAGGTGTTCATGGTGAGTTCCACCACCAATGTTTCTAGAAAAATAGCACTGTTCACAACAATCCAGATTTCAAATTTCCACTCAGCAACAAAACTCACTGAGTAACCAGCCACTGTCTCTCAACCTAACCATCAATATTGTGAGGATAAAATGGAGGAAGCGAGGAAGCATCATATATGGTGCTTTGAACTTCTTGGAGGAAAGGTTGGCTGTGGTTATAAAATCAGAGAATTGGAAGGGACCACCAGCGTCATCTAGTCCAACCCTCTACAATGCAGGAATCTTCTATCCAATGTGGTTCTTGAACCGACGACCCTGAAATTAAGAGTCTCATACTCTAGCAATTGAGCTATCCCAGGTCTTCAGTGATCCATTTTAAATGTAGTAAATAGAATAGTAAAACAGATCAATCCTATGAGGTAGAGAAAGCGGAGAGTGACTGACCCAAGGTCACCCAGTGAGTTTCATGTCTGAATGGGAATTTGAACTTGGATTTTATCATGATCCAGCAGTGACCAGGACGAGTCAGAGGCTACAGTGTCACATGATGGTGATCAGGAGGTTATTTAACCCAAGCCTGGTGCTCAGGAGGTCAGGGAATCAGATCCCTCAGCTCCATGGCCTCTAGAACCAGAGCTAGACTCTTGTGAGACCTTTTCCTGGACCTAAGTGCTTCCAATGGCACAGAAGGCTCACCAGGCAGGAGGCCATGGAGTTCAGGAGAAGTGCCTGTTGTCAGGCCAGAGATGGCTATATTCACCCAAGTCCTCTCAGAATAGACCCATTAATGGACCTAGGTTAATCTTGTCTCTTAATTTCCAAGGGTCTACTCTGAGTAAGGCTACCACACTCGTTCTCCAAATGTAGGAGGTGCTTCTGAGAGGTACACTGAAGAGACTCAAAAGACCTTGGTTTATTCCAACCCTTGTCAGAGAAAGTTGCTCACTAGAAGCCCTTCCTAGTACTGTGGCAACCAACCTGTTCGGCAAACTTGCCATTGGGGTTTTCCACGGGCCAGAGCAGGACAGCTTTCCTCAGTTCTAATCTAACACCCTAACCACACTGGCACTCTATGATAGAAAAGTAATTTCTCATCCAGGCTCTGACTAGACCCACATCTGACTACCTTCCAGAACCCTGTGGCCTCATATGGCTTCAGTCCATGATTTGGGATAATCTCCTACTTTTTGAACATGGCTGGTCAGTGTGTGGCACAGATATGAAAAGTGACATAGCAAGAGTGGGACTAATGGCACACCTGAAGAGGAGAAGGCATTGGTGGTGCAAAGGAGCTGCCTGACCTCCCTCTGGCTGAGTCACTGTTGTATACAAAGAAGGAGATGCCTCTTCTCAAGCTTAGTAGGCTAGAGGCAAACCCATACCAGTCTGTGGGAGAGATCTACATATACACTGCCTCTGAGACTTGCAAATAGTCAACTGATTCCTTGAAAACATTTTTGGAGTATTAGCTCTATACAGTGGTATCTCGGGTTACATACGCTTCAGGTTACACACTCCACTAAGCCAGAAATAGTGCTTCAGGTTAAGAACTTTGCTTCAGGATAAGAACAGAAATCGGGCTCTGGCGGCGCGGCAGCAGCAGGAGGCTCCATTAGCTAAAGTGGTGCTACAGGTTAAGAACACTTTCAGGTTAAGTACGGACCTCCAGAACGAATTAAGTACTTAACCCGAGGTACCACTGTAAACACCAGAGTTACTAGAAGGGAGGGGAAAATAAAACTAACGTTCAGTTTCGCTCCAACATGGTGTCCTCCAGGATCTCTGCTACAACACTGCCTTTATAAAATGTGTATGCGTTTTGCATCACAAATAACTAGCGCACATGAGACTTTATGGCTGGGATGGAGAACTTGTGGCCTTCCACATGCAATTCGACTCACATAAATTGCTGTATTTAAGTGGCACTAGAGTAGCACAACTTTGCTCTTTGAGCTCGACTTGGGGCACACTTGGCAAAACTGTTGGCCACTGCTGTCACTTCGGGTTTTATACATTATATGAGAACAACACTTTTGCCTGTAAGTACTTAAATGTTTATTTGACTAATTGGTTTAGATGCTTAATGGCTGGCTTAATAGTCTCGCTTTTTTATTATTCATTATGGAAGATGCTAAAGTAGTCGTCTTCCTCTTTTACATTAGTAAAATGTGCTTTATTTCCCCCTTGGCTATTACCATTTCAGTTCATTTTGCTCTGCTTGTTTAGGAATTTAAATATCTCTATTATTGCTACTATCTGGGCAAATTTAATAAATGGTCACTGTTTTGTGATTACTCAGGAATGTAATGATTTAGCTGATAATGGGCCAGAACAAGCAAAGAGATCTTTAATATTGATCAGGATTTGTCTTCTGTGTACCTTAGAGTAACAGGAAGCAATTGTTTTTAGCAATAAAGCCATTTACAAGCATTTATTTCAAACAATAAATGTAGCTAATGTAATATTAATGTTATAGGAAAGAGGAGGAAATGCTAAAAGCTGCATTGTATGAAGACCTTGAGCTGTTCGGTCTAGTTTCGTGTTCCATATTCCCCATGGATTCAGCTGACAAATGGAATCAAAAATGATCTCCATTTTCTGTGATCCCCTTATCATGTCTAGCCGGGGGACTTGCACTGGAGATATGTGCAAGCAGCATCAGTGACTAGAAGGAATCATATCTCAACTGCAAGAGCACATGGTTTGCATGTAGAAGGTCCCAAGAACAACAAGAAGCATCTGCACTTTGGAAAGGATCGCACAGCAAGTGATGAAAAACATTTTCTTCCTGAGACCATGGAAAGTCTCTGCCAGTTAGAGTAGATGGCAGTACAGTGTACAGATATAAGGGAGATTCCTAAATTCCTACCTGGACCTCTCTATCCCATCCAAGTGTTTGTTTAAGGGCTACAGCCAAAGTAAGAGTGATTTTCATTTCCACTTAGCCAATCTTTACTGAAACACTTCATTCCTCTTTCACTACATGACCATAGACAAGCTAGAAAGTTTCTGAAAAACAGAAATGACTTCCGTTGGAGGTTTGTTGGAGAATATACAGAATAAGCATTTCTTCAAACTATTTTTCATTAATGGTCACCACTTTTCTTTTTCATGAATGGTCATCACTTTGACTATCTTCCGATTTATAAAAAAGCAGATGATCAATTCTTGTTGGTAGGTTGGCAGATACAAAATCGGTGTTTCTGTCACAAAAAGAGTATGTAACTATTCTGCAACAGTGCGTTGTTTTGGGGCACCAAAGATCAGAAGATGAAGTTCAGTGGAAATGAGGCTACCAAAACATTTCAGAGGAGCCAAAGCAGCCCATCCATTTCTATCAAGGTTCCTTGGGGGTACTCTCATTTCGACTCAAGAAAATCACCATTTTATAGTTCAAATCGGGAAAAATAAATACAGTAAATGGACAAAAGTACAAAGATTCGCAAAATGTTTAGGGGTATGCGTACCCCTACATACCCCCAGAAAAAGGCACTGTATAAATGTAATAAATGAATAAACTTAGAGCACACTGCAATAATCCAGTCTTGATTACTTGATATGAAACGGATTCACACAAAAATGCACTGTATGTGGGCACTAGTTACTTTTTATAGCACACCATGTATTCTTCATCGCTGATTGTTTTAATTTTTTTAATGTTTGGTAATTGGGAGCCACATGCAAGGCTTGTTTTCCTCCCTTCTTTTCTATACCCTTTTTTTCTGTGCTCATCAAAGTCATTCAGGCAATTAATATTTGTTAGAACAAGAAAGCCAGGGGAGATTCTTCATCTCCTTAAACAAATGTGACTGTCTTGCAGCTCCAAACACAACCATTAGTTTGGAGGCACCAAGACAATTTCACAATGTGGCAGGCAGAATAGTATTTACTTGTCATTCTGCAACCTCTTCAGCATTTATCAAACTTGAGAACTTCAAAACATGTTATGTAAAGAGCAAGGATAGTTTAAGGCTTTGATTAATGCCGTCAACTTCAGTTTCCCAGCTCCATTGAGAATGTATATTGTACTTAGCTGCAAGCAAATATCATATATGTCTATATTAACTTCCATCCCTGCACTGAGAGAGCAGGGCAGTTTCCATACCTGAGGTGATTGCAATAAACACACACACACATACACAAAAATAACTGGAAGAGAAATTTGAAGCCTAAGGAATGGATACATAATCAAGGATGAAGCTGTACCCTGGTAATTTTTCCTATCCGTTACAGCATAATGGTTACACAGAGGAACGATATGAAATGAACATCCACAACTGTCATTGCATATGCCTGGAAGCAAACGAAAGCAGTTAAAATGAGGCCATGTGCTTCCTGTAAATATAATAACTTTTTCCAAAATTGCTCTCTGTTGAGAGAGCTGATGCGTGACACAATCTTTGAAAGGGAGCAGGAGAGAAGCTCCTGGAATGCTCAGGCTGCAATTGCATACACACTTCAGAACAAAAGAATAGCCTGCAGGATCAGGCCAGTACCCATCTATTCCAGCACCATGTTCTCAATAGATGCCCACAAACAGCACCTGAGCATAACAGCACTCTCCCGTCCTGCGGGTAACAGCTACAAATCTTCAGAAGCATTGTGTGTTGAGGTCCCTAAGCCACCCCTCAAATAACTCACAACACACACATAATTTTTGTTTAAGGTTTTTTGGCATAATTTTGGCCACAACTTTATTGAAATACATAAATGTGAGTGGTTGCTTAGGCATTGGTTAAGACTATCTGTCCCCCCGCCTGGGGGCAGAACTGACTTCTGGATTCCAGTGAAAGCCAGTAAGGGAAAACAATATTGGGGAGAAATGGAGCTGAGGCACAGACCCTCACCTCTCCCCGCATGCTCCCCAGGGCTTGCCGGCCCTAGCTCCATTCCAGGGATTCGGATGAAAAGATGGCAAGCCCCTGGATTCCTTTAATGGAATTCCCTTTCTGCAGCAACCTTGGAGGGGCAGGCCCAGCCAATCCTAACCCCTCCTCCAACCAAGTGATAACCAATGCCTAACCGCAACCTTACAAGTTGTGACGATTTGCTGCGCAATAGGCAAAAACCAAATGGCCCAGCCAATTGGCCAGATGGACAGAATTCCTACCAGGCCCCTGCCCCAATGGCAGACGACCCCATGGCAGGCATAGCAAGGTCAATGCAAACCCATAAAATGAGGGCGGGTGGACGGGTGATCCGTTGCACGCAGCGAAAGAAAAAGCCAAGCTGCGAGCATAGGATTTTAAAACATCCGATCCCTCCCACCAATATTGCAACATAGAATTTACCCCAGCACCCCAACCACCCAATCGTTGCCACAGGCTTCCATAGGAATACTGCCTGGCAACAGAGGGGTGGCCTGGTGAACCCCACCGCAACATGTGCTCTCCAGTCAGAGATCCAACTGGATGAGCAGGTTAGGATCCAGCAGATCTCCCTATAGTTTTGCTCCCACAACTGGTAGTAAGGCTCATTGTACTATGTGGGACTTTTCAGTAAACATGCATAGGACTGCAGAGCAAGTGACTCAAAACCATATCAGTATCAGTGAGAAAGACAAATAGGTTGCCACAGTGAGAGACACTTGAAAAACAAACTTTTAGAAGTGGCTGTTCTGCCAAAGAGCAAATCCACTCCCAGCCCACCCCAGAAAAGACTGTTAGACCTGGCAGGGTCTTCTAGCCTACCCTTCCTACTGCAAATTATGGATAGTCCATTATGCACCAACAATCGAAAAGAGATGAGCTCACAATGTGTTCCTATCAGTCAATTTCCATGGCCTATTAGGTGTGACCATTAAGGTCACACAATGATGTTCCTCCCATTATGTGAAGCCCACTGAGTACAATGACGCTGTGATGGCAATGGTCTGAAGAGGAAGTTCTATGAATATGGTGTGTCAGGCAGCACGCCTATGGGAAATGACCGCGGTGATTGTTGTGCATATTTTGTCTGAAAGCCTGCTGCTTTAGGAGGTAGGAAATTAGGATGTTACTTTATTAAGTGGAAAACCTGAGTTGCTGCTTAAATCATTGGTTCTCCATAAATGTTTTTTTTTTTCCATAGCATGGGGTAAATAAACAGCAGGTAGGTATTGGAACTGAGAAAGATACTACCTACTAGTCAGGTACTGGGACATGGGTGGCGCTGTGGGTTAAACCACAGAGCCTAGGGCTTGCCGATCAGAAGGTCGGCGGTTCGAATCCCTGCAACAGGGTGAGCTCCCATTGCCCAGTCCCTGCTCCTGCCAACCTAGCAGTTCGAAAGCACGTCAAAGTGCAAGTAGATAAATAGGTACCGCTCCGGCGGGAATGTAAACAGCATTTCCGTGTGCTGCTCTGGTTTGCCAGAAGCGGCTTACTCATGCTGGCCACATGACCCGGATGCTGTACATCGGCTCCCTCGGCCAGTAAAGCGAGATGAGTGCCGCAACCCCAGAATCGTCTGCGACTGGGCCTAATGGTCAGGGGTACCTTTACCTTTATTAGTCAGGTACATTATTTTAATACCCTACAGTAGTCATCTGCAACAGTAATACACACATCTTTGGAGACTTCCCTCATCTCCCTGATAGAGGAAGCAATGGGGTTTTCTTGAGTACAGTTTAACACCATGCCTTCAAAATGTCCCTCTGCAAAACCTATATTTTAATTAAGGGCCCCTCCCAAAAGACAAGCTAATGGGAAGCTCAGTGCTGGAGCACATACTCTGAATACAAAAGGTCCCAAGTTCAACCCCAGCAGCACCTCCAGGTATAGCTGGGAAAGATTCCTGCCTGAAATCCTGGAAAGCTGCTGCCAATATTGAGCTAGAATGATTCAGTTGGTCTAAGTTAGTATAAGGAAGCTTCCTATGATGTATCGTTGGTGCTTAACACTTATAAAACTAGCAAAAATGTATAGAACTGCTTCAAATTTATGTTGGAAGTGTAAGGAGAAGGAAGGCAAGTTCTACCACATGTGGTGGACGTGCAAGATAACAAAAGCATTCTGGGAAATGATATATAATGAGTTGAAAAAAATGTTTAAAATAACGTTTGCGGGGGGAAAACAGAAGCTTTTTTTGCTAGGTATAGACGTAGAAATACCAAATAATAATATATATATATATTTAATTTATATCTACCCTCCCCAGCCAAAGCCGGGCTCAGAGTGGCTAACAACAGTAAAATAATACAGCATTCTAAAATCAATTCATTATAAAATCACTTCAAAGGAGCAGAAATGATTACTTATGTATGCGACAACAGCAGCGCGGATACTACTGGCCCAGAGATGGAAAGAAGGTAAA